GAATTTTGGTTGGACTAGACTGACTTTTAGCAACTGTCTGAGCCTCAGATTCAAATTTCATCCTCACAGCACTAACTTTTGATGTTGATTTTGCAGGAGAAGATGGTTCAGATTCACTGGTCTTAGTTTGTTTGATTTTATCCTCACTGGTATGAGAGAAAATGCTTTTCTGTGGGCTGCTTGGTAAGCTAGAGCTTTTCTTTTCAGCTGCTGCGGTGCTGCCAAACATTTTGCCAAGTGAAGGCTCCCTGAGTTTGCTTCTACTAAACGGCTCTTCTACCGGTTTCGATTTCTGCTGTGTTTTCTCGGGGCTGCTGCAGGCCGAGCTAGGCCAGGACCTGGGTTCCTTTATCTCTCGTCTTACAGGCTTTTTCTCAGGGGACTGCAGCTCATCATTGAGCTTTTCTGTTTTGTCACGGAAGAACTGTGATACCTCGCTGAGTTTTTCTTCAGCCTCTTTTACAGTTTGGTCCACCCTGTCCTCATACAGCAGCTTATCCCTGCTCCTGTCATGTTTATCCTCTGTAAATCGCATCCAGACTGCATGTTTTGGGCTACCTGGTTCTGTGGAGTAATGGAGCACCGTCACTTTATCAAACTGAGATGGTTCATCCCTGTGCATGAATTTACTAGATTTAGGGGACCCATCTTTTGATGATTTAGAGCTAAATTCTCTTTTGGGGCTTCCATGCTCAGTGCTACGACTACCACTCTCATCAGAAACCTGGTGGCGAGATTTGTCAGCCGCTATCGCTGAATCCTCCGTGTCAGAGTGAGACAGTGACACATCGAGTTTCTCCGAGAGAAGCATTTTCTCAGCAAACCTGTACGACTCCCCTCGGATCTCAGATAGCTCATCGTCACAGTATTCTATGGAGTGCTGGCTCAGTAGTTTCAAAGCCTTATATGAATCGTCTGCCATTAGCTGGGCAGAACTTGGCCGACTGTCCTCCTCCTGTGACACTGGCGTATTAACGCGAGATGTTTCCAGGAAGGAGGGCAGGGATTCTTCGGCAGTAAGCTCCTCTTCTTCCTGCTGGGCCTCATCGTAGTCGGTAAGTTCCCTTATTCCACGGTCGCCTTTGTACACGTAAAGCTCAGGGTGTTTCTTGGTCTCCCTGAAAAAAACTTCTGTCGGCTCTGCTGTGCTGTGCCCCTTTTCAATGTGAACCTCAATTATCCTTTCAACTTTGGGTTTGGATTTCATATCTCGGTCAAGAAATCTAGGGGTCAGCTCATCACCTTTGACTGAGTCCTGGCTGGCTTTGTGCTCAAAAAGGCCTGCCAGCTCTTTAGAGGGGTCCCTACCTGACTGGAAAGCTTTCATAATATCTCTAACTGACATGCCTTCCTCGATCATCTCGGCGCCATCCGTCAACTGGGGTTTGTGATAAACCATTCTAGTCGTAGTGGTGATGTGAGTTTCCTCTTTAAGACACACACTTTTGTTCATCATGCCGTCGTCTTCGGGCATTTTCATCTGCAGTGCTTTCATGGAGCTTGCTGAAGCTGCTTCTGGCTCCAAAGCTGGAAGAGCGGAAGCAGCCTCGTCCATGAGTCCAGGCTCGCAGGGATCGTCGTAGCTTCTGATGTGGACCACTTCGGTTCTGGTCTCAGTAACGCAAGGGGGGATGGGTGAATCAGTGAATAAAGGTTTGGGCCCTGTGCTTTCTGCACTTTGCGGGGCAGAGGGTGTCTTTTCACTCCTGGTTTCAAACCCGCTGTCCGACAAAGGACTCTTATCCTGCTCATGAGACAAGTCCTCAGGCGATTCCAATATAGTGTCTGACCCCTGATACGACTCGGCAAGCTTGCTTAGGTCTTTCTCTGAGGGAGACCTGAGCATGCCCGAGACTGGTGGAGGCATTTTGAGTTTGTGCTCTTGTATGGACATGGATGGTTTGAGAACACGTTTCTGTTTTTCCTCCCCTTCCCTCTTTGCCTCCTCCTCATGTCTACCTTTCAGTTCGGCCATTTTCGAAAGGGAACTTGCGCCGATGTCATTCGTTAAATAATCTACCACTTTAGCCAGATCTAAGTCTTTGCTAGACATGGCCTGGTGCTTAAGGAAGAGTGTGTTCTCATCAAAAGGAGGGTAATAGTCTGAGAATCTTTGTGCCTCTTCGATCTCATCTTTAGAAAATTCCTCCCATTCATCCTCTGAGGCTTTCTCTTTAGCTGCTCTGGCCTTACCTTCACTCATGATGTCTTTCTGTAATATCTCGCTAACCTTGACTAAATCTTCTTTTACCTTCTCCACTAAAGAAAACGTCTCCTCATCCTCTAATTTAGTCTCTTTAGGAGTGCCAGTATGTGAAGTTTGAACAGTTTTAGCTGCTGTCTGTGTGTCTGTCTGCAGGATTGCTGTCATTCTGATTAGATCTTCCTTCATATCTGCTACATCTTTCAGTATCTCCTGATTAGAGGCTGCAGTCGGGTGGATGATGGGCGGCGTGATAAATGGCGGGGATTTTAATTGGGATTTTATTTTTGTTGCGGTAATGCAGGAAGACATAGCGGAGGAAGATGAGGTTGAGGCACGAGGGGAGTCGGGAAGAGCCATTTTGAGAGAACCAGGCCCTGGTTTGACGGGGGTCTCTGGGATGACGTTGACCAGAGAATAAACGGGTACAGTCATTGTATTAGATGAAACTGCAGCGCTTGGTGGGACAGTTACAGATCTCAGAGAACTGTAAGCAGAACTTGCTGTTGCAGATCTGCGCGAGGAGGACAGTGATTTTAGGGTGCCATAACCCGAGACAGAGTACGAGTCTATGGCTTCGTTTATGGCTGCGCTGACACCGGATGTTGCCGCCTGGGTGGTGGCCAGAATTCTCTCCTGGAGGCTGGCGCTTCTATCCGAGAGAAGGCGAGAAGAAGGGGATGATGGCGTGGAGGAGGAGGACTGATATTTAACTGGCGAGACTTGCCCGTTCATCATGGACAGTTCTGAGGAAGGAATGGTCGTCTGGCCAGTTGAGGAGAGAGATGAGAGGGATGTTCTTCCTCCTCGGGATGACAGTGTTGAATCTACAGAGGTTTTCAAAGAGGACAAGCTGGAGATGCTTTTAACAGGGGAAAGGGTAGCATCTGTGGACCCGAGGGCAGTTTTAAAAGGCAGGTTAGAAGTGTACATGTTGTACGGTGTCTTTGGCAATGCTGCAGCAGGAACAGGAGCTGGTACAGAACCGTTGGGTATCGAATGGAGTGGAGATGTTCTGGATGTGTATGCAGAAGCAAGGTTTTTGATGGAAGCTGGATCTGTGGCAGGTTTGCATGGGCTTCCAGAGGACACAAGACTGGCGGACCCCTGGACAGGGTACTGACCCTGCTGGACAACAGTTTTAATGGGTGACGGCATAGTCCTGTAAGACCTGATGGGGGATGAGGATGCTATTTCGCTGACTGATTTAACTGGGGACGACATGGTAGGTGCTGGTGGTGGAGCTCCAAGGGTGGCTTTGATAGTTGCAGGGCATGCAGGTGAAGGGGTTGAAAGGGGCCAGGCGGATTTCAGTGGAGAAGCAGCTGGTGAGCCTGTCGGTGAATCGGTAGAGACGAGGGAACCCCCCACTCCGACTGGCCTTGTTTGGCCAGGGACGGTAATAGGAGCAGTCGACCATGGTGGGTAAGGTCTGGTTGGAAAGACAGGTTTGTGAGGGTAACCAGCAGGCAGTGTTCTTGTTGTTGTTGCGCTTCGCTCAACTGCTGTTTCTTCAGGTGAGTTTGTAGAAATAATGATAAAGAAGGGATGGCAAAAAAATAACCAAAAGGATGCAGGATAGTAAAGATAACAGAAAGTTATGTCAGGGAAGGAAAAGGAAGGGGAGAAAATGTGAAAGAAGAGGAGACCAGAGGAGGAAGAGTTGGTCAGTGATGCAGTCCTAGTATTAAAGAAGGAAAAACAGCAGTTTTTATGTGCTGAGGTAAGATATTTGACTGAAGATGGAGTTAGAAAAAGAAACAGTAGTGTTCCTGTGTGATTCAGGACTTGGAGATGACTCAAACAACAACAACAGCAAAAAACAACAGAAGGAATAAACTGAACTGAAGCACAGACAGCAGCAAAGTAAAAATTCCAAAGACAATGGCGAAGACTAACGACTGACAACAGAAAAATGGCAAGACAAATGCACCAGGATTAACACGAAAACAACTTCTCTCTTTGGACTTCAGAAGTTCTAAATCAGCATATGGATTCTGGCTCTGATTTCAATCCGCTTTTTAAAGTGCCTTTTATCTGTTTGGTCCAAAAATTATATATAATGACAGATTCCTCAAAGACAATTTAGACACTAAGATACAATAGAGCCAAGGGCTGCAGAAGTTTCCATTTTCCTTTTTCTTAATAACAAACAAAATATGACAAAATGTGCTCTCCAAGACTACAGTTTTGGCCCATTTTGTCATGCAGCATCGAATTGGTGACAAGCAAAGATTGTGAAAAACTGAAAAGAAAACACCTGAAAGAAAGCCAAGACCTCTAAACATGCAGTTTTTTCTGTCTTTGTCCCACACAAAGCTGCTACATCATCACAAAGCCAAAAAGAGCTTTCAACTCAGAGGGAACAAATGACATACAAATGAAAATTTTACTTTGACCCCCTTTCCAAGGCGCCTTTTTGACATCGCGTCGGTAAGTCAAAGGAAAATTTTGTCGTTGCTGCATTTTCACTCGTGAAACTCAGCAGCGGAAATCAACCAAACGAACCCAGGAGAACTCACAACGTGGGCAGCATGGCACAGAAACTCAAAAACCACTCATTGACCCATGCAAAAAGTATGTACCATGTCGTAAACAAGCATGTGGACAGTGCATGTCATGTAGGATGAGAAATATGCATTTATTACATTAGGTAAGTCACATCTTTCTACAGACTTGATCACGCTTTTTTTTTTTTTTTTTTTTTTACAGGTTAGTGAATTAATACTGCAACTAACTTATCCACGAAACTTATTATAGTCATCAAACGGTTTGTTAGTGAAGATGTCAAACTCACTCAGTGCAGGCTCGGCCAGATAGCTGTAGCGCTTACGTAAGGCTAGGGATGCAAAGGTATGACGTCGCTCTGGCTTTTCAGTCTGCAACAATAGCAAACAACACAAAATCCTATCAGTTCTAGGTCACCCTGCATGTCAGAGTGCTGCCAAATGAGCAACATTTGGACCTGTCAAATTGAAGCAAACCCTCTAGTCTGGATTAGTTGCTATTTGCATGTAAAACAAAGCCCAGATTTAGATGCAAATTCTCCTTTAAGAGGATTCACTGCACTTCAGTTCTCTGTTTTGTTAGTGCCGATGCTACTTCTTAAGTGTTATTATGCCAAGCTAGTCAAATTAGCTTGAGTTAGTCACTATAAGGCTACAAACTCTAAATTACAAGGACTTATAAGTGCAAATTTTCAGTTTTAACCCTCTGAACCCCGAAACCGGCAGGTTTGAAAAGCACGTTGTTTTTGTTTAAAAAAAAAAAATCCCCAAAATGACACCATTTATCAGAGCTGCAAAAACAGAAAGAATCTTCAGATTTAATTGGTCTGAAGCTCCGTCTGCAAAATGATAAAAATTGTGATTTCTTTATATTGAAATCATTTTATTCCACATATTTTGATTAAAAAATTTGACCCCAAAAAATTGTGGTAACCATATTCTGCAAAAAACTAAATATTCTGCACTCCTTGATGCAACCATGACTGATACAGCTACTGCAAAAACAGAAAAAATCATCAGATTTTGTGAAATTCAAACCAATTCTCAGCGTGAAATCGCTATATCTAATCAAAATCACTTTATTCTACATGTCTCATTTAAAAATTTGCCAAAAATAAACCATTCACTCAAATTAGATTGTGTGAAATACAAAAAAATCTGCAATCATTGCTGCAATCATGAAGCCTCAACTGTGACCAACAGTCATGAGACAAAAATTATTATTTTTTTCTTTTCCGGCTGAACTGCAGGCTGTGTTTACACGGAGCATGTAGAAGTCCATCCAGCTATTTTCTATACATTGTTTTATTCTCTGTAGAATACAAGTACGGAAACAAGCTAAAAATGTTAAATATATCTAGTTTGTGGAGTCACCATTTCTTCCCAGTATTGGTGGGCACAAAATGATGTACCTGTTGATTCCAGGTTTTTCTTTTAAATTCTTCCTCATTTATGGCGTTGCAGTTGAGTCAAACAACACCGAAGACTCTGAGTTCTCGCTCTTCTAGTCATGGTCGTGCTGTTTCCGTGGAGGCGCAGGACTTCAAATTGCAGTGAAAATGAGTTCACGGTGAGCAAAAGTGCCGCAATCGCTGCTTGGGGTTCAGAGGGTTCAGGTAATAGAGCTTAAATCTTAACTTAAGGACAAGTGAACTCCAGAGCTACAAACTGCAGAGCGCAAGGGAGAAGGACTGAACATAGGACAAGTAGTTCTTCATTTTCTACCATATATCATGCAAAACTGAGCAGCTAAAGGTTGCGTTGAACAAGGAAAGCTTGTGTTGCCCTTGTAGAAGCGGAAAGAATAATAATAAGGCTATGAAGAGCAGAGCAGCGTCGCTAAAGATCTAGCGCAGAGGACAGCACATGGTGGGGAGGGTGTGGTTTACCTCGTCCTCGGCATCTGACTCCATATCCTGGTTCCCAAGATGCATTGCAGAAACAGGGGGGAGTAACATAATGGAAAGCAGGAGGAGGGGGGGGAAAAGAAACATCAGGGTGTGAAAAAGGAGTGATTGACAGAAGCTCCAACTCAGAAGAGAAGCCACTTTAGCAAACAAAGAGAAAACAAAACAAACAAACAAAAAAAAATGCAGAAAGCGCCGACATTCAAAAAACAGCAAAAATGAACTCAAGCCACAAAAAAGCCCAGCCTTGATAATGAAAAAAAAAAAACTTGTTTACACACAAGCCCTCAGCCAAAAAGCATCCAAATCAAAGAAGGCAGGTAGGAACAAAATGAGAACAGCCAATGACGAGAATCCACTGCAGAGAAAAACCGAGATATATATATATATATATACATAGAGAGAAGCTTTAAACAGATAAAAGACACAGTGGCGGCAATTTGGCCAAAGTCTTTCTCTGTCCTTTCATGTATATAAGTGTTGCCGAAGGGAAGGGGCCCAAACTAACCCTGACCATGAGTGTGGTTATGGACGTGACAACAGAGAACGGAGACGCCACGCTGCCTTACCTTCTTCACGGCGGGAAGCGTGATGTTCAGGTTGCACACGGCCGTCTGAGGGAGGCCTTTGATGGTTTTGCACTCTTTGAGGAAAGTGAGGCGACCGCAGGGCTCCTGACTGGGATCTCTGACCTGCAGAGACAAAAAAACAAAACAAAACGTCTTCTAGTTACCGCGGATCGACCTCGATGCAAACGTCCACATCGCGCACTAGAGCGTCGTACAGCAGCGGAAGCAGCTGCATGAGGCGTAAGAGTTGTGTATATTCAGAGACGCGCTTTGCAAACGTAAAAACTGACTATAGATTATAGCCATTTTCTACCACCAAACGTCCTAACCAGGTGAAACGCAGTGCAGATGTTTCTCGAGCATCACCACTGAGCGGTTAAACCTGAACGTCGCAGCGTTGGACAAAGTTAAATTCCAGCATATTTGAGCCGAATCTTCCAGAGGAGCATGAGCGACACAAGCAGGGAAAACCTTACAGACTAATAGAACTTCCATTAGCTTACTACATTAAACAGTTATTGGAATACCTGAAAATGTAAATGTTCAACCCTGGAGCATTATTGGTGGATATAAGAGTCAAAGCAGGAACCATATACGATTCCTCATACACCTAGAGTAAAATAAAAGAAATCCAAATACTATGTGGATAAATTATTGTAAAAAATACACATATAAAGATGAAGGAACATTTATTCCCAAATCACCAGTCAGACTGCCGAAACTTATGATATCTGTGTCCAAATGTCACTCTGGCTCAGTCGTGATTGGTCAGAGGCCTGAGTGATGTCGCCTGGCCTTCGTTGATTGGTCGGATGAAGTCATGTGATTCTGCCCCCCCCCCGGCATTTTTAAAGCCTGAGGAAATTACCATATATGGTAACTTATATGGAAGTTACCACATAAATACAGTTTCACAGTTTCAGAAATCCTTAAAACCACCATTTTCCTTGATTTGACCCACACTGGTAGATCTAAAATCCATCTCAGTGGATATACGGGTCAGATATGGCAGCCTCACTGCACCTGAACAACAGCGTAAAAGTTTAAAATATTTTGTTTTTTGTGTATTTTGGGTCATTTTAGGTAAAGTCATCAAATGTCAGGCTAATAGAACAACGTTTAGGGTGTTTTTACTGCTGTCAAATGTCAAAACGGGTCAAATTTGACCAGAAACAACATGTACGGGTTAAACCTGCTTTGTTTCCAACAGCCAGCAGGGGGCGACTCTTCTGGTTGCTACAGGGTATATTAAAGTCTATGAGAAAACAAGTCTTTGTCTCTGTTTGCAATAAAACTTTGCACTGCTTTGAAATGTGCCATCAAAGAAAGTTTAAACTAGATCACTTAGCAAAGCTTCAACCTTTGACTTGCCCAAAATTCAACACTAAATTTCTACTAATTATCCGATTGAGGATTTCTCCGATTAACGATGAGCGTTGCTTTGCGTCCCGCTGTGGTGTCGTGATCTGATCCGCACGCAGCAGAGACAGTTGTCACGGCAACAGAGCACCAAATGATGCGAGAGGATTGATTATGGATCGCATCAAGTTAATGGGTCGATCGATGTCGGGAACTGGGTTATGAGCTGTTTGGAAGAGGGGGAGCGGAGCTAGCATGCTTTACATCCAGGATTTAGACCCGTCCCGTTCGTATTCAGCTGTGAGTGTAGTTTTGGTCACTTTTGTTCAGATTTTTACATCCTCCACCTCCGTTTTCCAGCCCGAGGAGGCGGCGGCGGCGATGACGGTACCTTAACGCAGAAGGGCAAACGGTTCTCCTTGAAGGCGTAGAAGTTCAGAACTAACTGCTGACCGGCTTTGGTCAGAGGAGCCAGGTTCCCGTAGCAGTCCACAAAGATGGGCCGGCCCTCCAGAACCTGCAACACAGCAGAAGTCAGCGTTTCATACGGTGTTCAGGGTGAGAGCCGGACAAAAGGACGGCCGGCAGCAGCATGGAGGCCTGAAAACTGATCATGTTTAGTAAAAGATGAGTAAAAAACAGAGTTCTTCCTGCTCAGAATGAGCTTTAGGAGGCTGATTAACAGTAAGATCAGTCCTTATTTGACAGAAATCTGTGCAATCTTCTGTTATTTCTGACCATTTTAGGAGCAAAAATGTCTGTTATGTTTGTGTAAATGAAGTCCAGATTAACAAAACTGGCTACAAACATCTAGATTTGTCCAGCATCTTTCAGTTCTTATCATCTAGTTGCTTCTCTTTTGCAGATGCAAAATATTCCTTTTTGCAGTAAAAACCCAGTAAAAGTGAAATTAAATTTTATTTTTAGCTAATTTTGTGTAGAAAGACTTTTGCTTTCTTGCCATTCAGTTGCTAAAACTTCATCGTTCTGTGGAGTTTTGTTTTTCAACACTTTTCAGGTTTTTTACGATTATCGAAGCACTTTTTAAAAATGTCCTAATGCTTATATGATAATTAGAGCAATCTCACGGCATCATTATTATAAATTACACACTAAAGTAATATATAATACCAAAATCTGTGCATTTTCATGTCACTTTTTACTTTAATAATCAAAAGTGACTTTTATTCTTGAGTAAATGAAACCCAAATTAATAAAATCGGTTAAAACAAAATACAGATTTTTCCCGTTTCTTTCTATTCTTATTTCTTAGAAAGCCTGTAAAAGCATCAATAAATATTATTTTTACTTTATTAAGTGTTGAAATAAATCTCCTTAACCAGTATTCAGTTGCTAAAGCGTCTTCTTTCTGTGATTTTTTTTTGGTTTTTCACACTTTTTAGTTTTCTAATCTTTATTTTTTACTCTTATTGAAGCAGCATTTCTAATTTTCCTGATACTTATATGATAGTTTGATGTACATTCAGAGCATGAGGTGATCTTATAGCATCATTACAATAGATTATTCAATAAAAATCATGAATAGCCTCCAGAAAGTAGAATATTATGGCTGATACAACCTTTTATTACGGCATGAAGCTGTGCTGCAAGTTATCATTTTGTAATAATTTAAATACAATAAAGGTTTTAATGCCGACGGAGACGTTTCAATGCATAAAAAAAGCCCTATTACTGCCATAAAATGTGATTTACTGGGGATTAATTCTGGATTAAGCTTTAAAATCAAAGCCACAGAGCAGGTTTTCAGCAGAATAACCTGAATACCTCGATGTCTTTGCTCCGAGCCACTTCCTCGAAGTTCTCCTGCTGCTCCAGAGTCTTGTCCACCTTGTCGTCCGTCATGCAGAAGCAGCGCAGCCTCGACTCCACCGGGTCGTTCATCTTGGCGAACACCACGAACTTGGCCATGTACGGGACGCAGATGAGCTCCCGGTACAGCTGAGTGGCCAAACCCACCGTCTCCGGGATCTGATGGCAGTCGGCCAGCCAGAACCTGCGCCGGACGGAAACGACGGGAGTTAAGACTTTCAAAATAAGAGTCAACCCAGGGCAAAGCATCGCAGCTTTACCACAAATCCTGCTCCAGCACCCCTGAAAGTTTAAATGGAGCACAAAATACGAACACTTCTAAAGATATTTGTGAAATTTTACCTTCATAAATGAGATTTAAAAAAAAGAATCGACACACTTTTAGCTTATTTTTAAAACATCGAAATTTGCAGTTTTTTGAACGACAACATGTCAGAAACTATTAAAGACAAAATGCTTAAATTTTCACAGCTATATCTCATTACGTCATTAATTCAGAATCTGTCTCATTTTTTAAACTCTGTTCTACTTGGATCAGACTATCTGCCAATATCTCTGTTTCTCTTGTCACATTCAGTGATTAAAGTTAAATAAAAATAACATAATTTTTCATTTTTGTGATTGAGTTCGTCATAATAAAAGTTTTCTTCGTATTTAGCTTCGTATTGCAGAAGAAGTTTTATTGTCACTGTACACGAAATGCAACGAAATTTCAGCTAATGTGGTCACATGTCGAAGAAAAACAAGTTAAAGGGTGATATAGATAATAAAACAGCAATAAAATATAAAATAAATCCTCTAATAAAAGTGCAAAACAGACGTGCAGCTACACGTGGGTCAGAAAACATCACTAGCTGACTTCTGCTTTATTCACTTTCTTGTTAATATGAGCACAAAGACGGGACTTTTCTTCATTTTTTTCACCCATAATCAGACATCTTTTGATCTACTTGTCCAATATCACAGATTCTGAATCAGCGACGTGATGAGAGATAACGGTGAACATTTCAGGCTTTTATCTTTAATAGTTCTACTTTTATTGTGAAACAATCAATCTCAGTTTTTTTCATTGAACTGTCAGAAGTGACTGAAGCAGATTTGACAAGTTGTACCAGAAAAAACTATTTGTAGATTCAAGTAGAAGAGAGTTTCAGAAATCAGACAGATTCTGAATCAATGTCATGACGAGAAACAGTGAAAATATCTGATTTCTATCTTTAATAGTTTCTGAGATGTTATCGTTCGAACAGCCTCAAATTTCAATGTGTGAATATGAGAACAATCTCAAACCGATATATCAAGTCACAATTTCATTTTAAATCTCTACAGTTTGATTTAAAAAGTCAGCAGTAGATCAGAGATGTTTGACGGTTCCTGATGATTTGAGGAATAATCCCGTAATGAAACCCGACATGTGACAGAAAACCAGCTCTGGGTCTGACCTGGCAGAGACGTTGGTGGTGAAGGAGACGCAGTCGTTGACGAACGTCAGAGGAGTCGTTCCTGTGATGTCCTCCCACTGAGCCGGAGACGTTCCACCTGACAGACAAGACACGGGGGGAAAAAAAATCAGCGTTTAACCTCGTTTATTTATTTCTACTAATAACGGACACGCTCAGTGGAAGTGACACTTCCTGTAAACACACAGCATCACAAGCTGGACTCACATCAGTCAGAAACATGTTTAATACTAAAATACTGCTACTTATTTTAATAAGTGTGGAAAATACTGAATTTAAGAAGGCCGTTGTCAGTCTGCTGCACATATTTAACTCACTTTACTAGAATTAATCAACTTGTTTGATGATTTCACGACTTAATAATCTTTAATGATTCGCCTCTTTAAATAAACTGTATTGGTACGAATCATCATAACGACTTATTGGTCCTTTAAACTAAACGAGAAATGCTGAACTCTGGTGGTTCACTGGGTCACAGTGGAAATATCTGCAGGCTTCCTGAGATTCAGGTAGCTGGAAGTGAAACACAACACCTCCCTGGTTGTACACTCAATTCACTGTAGCCACGAAAAATATGGATGTTTACTTGGAAGTTTGTGGAATTTTAGATTAATATTAGAAATAGTTTCCAAGACCAGTAATTTTAAAGAAGAACTGCGAGACAACTGATTAACAACACTGTGTTTTGTTTTCACATTTAAATATTAGCCTGTTTGAAAACGTTAAGGTTCTATCAAAGATAAAAGCCTGAAATATCTAAAAAAATATATATAATAAGGATAACTATCTGTTGTGTTTTTAATCAGTGATAAAAGTTGTATATCACTAACTGACTTGTGCATTTTTAATTTGTTTCTTAATTTGTGCTCAAAGATGGATTTTTGTTGTTGTTTAATTTTTCAGAATATTTGATCCACTTGTCCAGTATGACAGATTCTGGATCAATCAACATTTAATAGTTCAATGTGTGCAAAAGCATAAAATAAATCTGCTGAAAGCGAATCAACCAGCGATTGAAAATAAAACAAGAATCTTGGAAGACTCTTCATATATTAACGTAAAATTAGCCAGACGTCGTTTTAATTTCTGTATCTTCTGCTATAAAATATGACGATGGTTGACGCTCCTCTGATCTCTGAAGGCGTGAAGCTGCTGCCGTACCGGTGATGCTGCAGAGGAGGCGGAGGCAGGGAGTGCAGTCGCCCTTGTAGCCGTTGCTAAGCCCCTCCCCCGACAGTGGCGGCACCGGGATCGTCATGGTGATGGGTTTGTGGAACTTCCTCCTGCGGGGCTCCACGGTGACGATGGGGCTGAAGGTGGCCCGGTTACCGAGGATCTTCTTCACCGTGTCGTCGGGCACCGGCTGGGCCTGAGAGAGGAGACACGGTTACAATCTAACGCCGCGTAACAGAGCGAAATAGTAAATATGACGGTTAAAAGAAACAAGTGGAGCTGATTAAATTAATAAAATCATCATCAGGCATAGAAAAAAAAAATCAAGGATAAAATAAAATAAAATCAAACAGATCAAATTTTAAAAAATCATCATCAGTCATAGAAAAAAATAGATGATAAAATAAAATAAAATAGATTAAATGAATTAAATCGTCAGTCGTAGACAAAAACAGATGATAAAATAAAATAAAATGGGTTTAATTAATAAAATCTTTATCAGTCAATGACAAAAAAAATTGACAATAAAATAGATTAAATAAATAAAATCATTATTCATGGACAAAAAAGAGGAAAAAATAAAATTAGATAAAAAAATATTAAATCAATAAAATCAAAAAATTATAATAAAATAAAATAAAATAAAATAAAATGAAAAAGAATAAATTCATATATGAAATCATGACCAGTCACAGACAAAAAAAAATGTATGAAAAATTAACTAAAATAAAATAGATTAATTAGTAAACTTATCATTTGTCATAATAAAAAAAAACAGATTAATTTATTACCTAAAAAACTGCATGGCTTTGGTTTATCAGTCAGAGAGGCTGAAACAGTTCAGCTCACACATCGTAAACTGCACTAAACGCTGAGCTAATTTAAAAGTGATCTGATACTGATGTACATGTAAATTAATGTAATTTAAAGTTCAACAGAGATCACCTGAGAAGCCTTGCAGAGGGTAGGGGAGCGTTATCAAACTTGTGGGAGAACCTTCTAAGGTCCCGTCCAGACTGAAAGCTGCTGGAAACCTGAGCTCACCTGCAGTCCGACCTTGATCTTCTTGGTCAGCGCCCCCTCCGGGAAGGAGGCCTGGACCAACGGGACGCTGCGGCTGCACAGAGTCCCGCCCTCCGGTCCCATCTGATTGGTCTCCTGTCTGATCCGGGACACCACGGCGAAGTACTGCGGGAAGTCCTTGGTGATGATGCGGCAAATTCGCTTCCTCTCCAGCTCCTCGGGACTGTCCAGCTCTACGGAAACAGAAAACCGGTTACTAAGAACAACCAGTCGAAACAAAGAACCACAAACACAAGACTTATCTGTTTACTGTTATTAATGCCAATTATTGATCTAACTTGAATCATTTATTTGTAAATTTTTCCATCTTTTTTTCTCATTTTGCTTTTAAGAATTCAGATTTTTCTGCCTCTGCTGTTTCCTCAATGCGTTTATTTGCCGTCTCCAACTTAATTTGAATCCACCAAATCACAATTTTAAGTCCTTCTTGCACATCAGGTGTCTGGAATTTCACTTTTTGCACATTGCGTCCCAATCTGTGCAGCGGGGAGCTCCAGAACCAGCACCCGCAGAGCCGTTGGACCCTCACCTTCGTCCATGCCGTTGAGCAGCTGGTTGAGGTCGTCGGTCTTGCAGTCGTACAGATGCTCCTTCCAGTTTTCTCCGTTGTCGCTGCGCAGCAGGATCAGCTCCCTCTCGTGGCCTCGCATCGAGCCGAAGTGCGGGATCTCCACGATGACGGGCCTGGGGAGGGACACGCCGCCGTTGGGTTAATCTGGTTTCACTGACGTCTGACTGAACTGACAAACATCTGCAGGGTTTGGGTCGGAGAGCAGACAGACCAGATCTCTCTCCAAGCGACGGTTATGAAAGACTAATGCAAAACCAGGAATACAGACGACGGACATCATATGGCAGCTCTCTGGGAATAAACCAGGGATTAATCTGGATTTCTGTGGATTCTTCAGATTGAGGGTTGATAAATGCGAGCTGCCATAAATGAAAGGAGACGTACAGAAACAACCACTGAATGGTCTGGATGCTGGTTTTATGGTCGTGCTGCAGGTTTGATGCCACATTCAGAGCAAATGATTGGACGAAACGGATGAGATGCGGTGAGGAGGTTGGAGGAGAGAAAGCTGCACAGCCCTTAATCAGACCAGGCATGGAAGCAACTCAGGAGGATGAACCAGAACTAAACAGGAACTAATCGCCTCCTTGAAACCCCTTTTTTCTCTCGCAGATCATTTTTCCTTAAAGGTGCTGTTTCCTCAATCACACTGCCGGCGATAAAGATAAATTTTGGCAGCAGATCAGCTGATGTCCCTCATAAATCTGAGCGCAGGCGTATTGTATATTATATCTGGAGATCCATCAGAAGTACCGATGCTCCAAATGTTGCTTCAACACCCAGAAAACAGCATTTTAAAGGCGTCATACTTCTAAATAACGCTTTAAAATAACTTATAACCCTCTGAACCCCCGATCTCATCGACACGTCTGACAGGTTCTTTGTCTTTTAGAAGAAATCGCAAAAAAAAAAAAAAAAAATCAGACAATTTCTCAAAGTCAGAAACCGTAAAAACAAAAAGAATTTCCAACTATTTCATCAGATTCACTTTATTCTACACGTTGCATTTGAATTTAACTAACTAACTAACTAACTAACTAACTAACTAACAGGAACAGTAAAAACGTAAATAAAATAATTCTGTGCTTCCCGGTGCAACCTTGAAGACATCCAACTGCAACCAATGCTACAAAAATTCAGGGACTTTTCGGATGAACTGCAGGCAGTGTCTATGCAGAGCACAGAGGAGGTAAATATGTAAACAAATACATAATAAAATATCTGTAACAGTATGTAGAGTCATTATATTTTTATTCCATTTGTGGGCACTTAGAAAAATGTACACGCTGATTCCAGGTTTTAAATGTTTTAGTTAATCAAAGACATTAAGTTTTCCCTTTTTTTATGATTTGTTGGATTACAGCTGCGTCATCCTGCACACGAGATGTTTCTGAGTTCTGTCTGCTTGTGGTTGTAGTTGTTCTGTTCCCGTAAAGGTGCAGAACTTTATATTGTAGTGAAAAATGAGGCCACAGTGAGTCAGGAAGCTGGTTCAGAGGGTTAACCCACCTGACAGGTCAACGTCCACACGTCTGTGCTAATGGCTACATAAAACCTCATTTTTATTTTCAAGACACTGACAGACTGCACTGGTTTCTACCAGATGTCGTCTGGCCCACTTTTCCTCTTGCTGGTTTACAACATCTGGACATTAAAGCAGACAAAGCTGGTCCCCCCTGTGGAGCATCTTAGCCTACTTTGTGCATTAATGAAATATTAACAATCAGTTTAACAGACTCGTGTTTATGGTCCTGACTGGTTAAAGTAGAAACGTTCATTCATGTAATAAAGTTTTCCATAAATGTCGTTCTACTGTTTGCAGACTGTCTAGCAGGTCGGAGGGCATTAAGCAGCTCGTGAGGCTTTCTCATGGAGGCCCTTTACAAGCTGAACTCCCACAATGCTCTCTGCTGGTCGTATGAGCGCCGCCTCCTCTGGTCGCTTAAGTGTTAAACAGCAAGAGGCGCCACCTGGTGGAACAACCAGGTACTACAGCTCATCTACAACACATGTCCTTCGTCTTCTGCCTCATCTTTGGACCCAAATTTTGGATTGTTTGGTTGTCTGTTTAGATTTTATAAGGTCTTCATGTTACTATGCTCAGTGCGATGAGATGACGTGTTGTGAACTAGCGCTACAGAAATAAAACTTAACTGAATTGAATTAATATATTTTCATTTGGTTAAATTATAAACGGCAATCAAATAATAAATAATTATCAACAATCTAGGAGAACGTTTTGTCTATACTTAACTTTGCAGCTTCTTAAGATCCGAGGCCTTTTTTATGCATTTTTTATTTGATAAGATCAAATTGCAAAAAAAATAAAAAATATTAAGAAAATATAAAAAAATATATAAGAAAAAATAAATAAAAATAAATAATGAAAATAAAAAATATAATCATAAAATAAAAAATAAATAAATAATGAAAATAAAAAATATAATCATAAAATAAAAAATAAATAAATAATGAAAATAAAAAAATATAATCTAAAATAAAAAAAAAAGAAAGTGGTCTTATAGCTGGCGTCAAACAACTGGCATAAAAACATCACATACTGTTAATATTATATGTTGATAATATTTTCCACTTTTACTCATTAGGGGAACCAGTACAATCCAACACAATCTACTTTCATGATGTTAAATATGGAAACAACTTCAAGTAGAAATCAGTCACACAAAGGCACCGTGCGATGACGTCAAACTGATCTCAGATATGAAGTCATGGGAAGCAGGATGATGCTCGTTCTGAGGAGGATAAAAAGGCTCATGCCCAACAAGCGCAGTCCAAACAGCCAATCAGAAACCTCCACAGTCAGAGAAGCCTCAGAGAGCTTCTGAAATAAAAAATAATAATAAAACAAAAAAACACACGATGGTTTCTAAATGAAAGTGGCTGGAAGAAAGTAACTGCGATGGAGTTCAAGCTACGTTTTGTAGTTTTAGGAAGAATTTAAAATTTTCCGTCTGTCCGTGTTACTGAGGCGTGATTTCTTCCCAAAACTACATGGCAACCGCATCGATGCTGCAACAAAATCCTGACAAATCAAAGCCAACGTTGATGGGTAACACAATCCGTCAGCATGAATCAGCCTCGGCCATGTCGCCTCCTCTCCGGGAGGCGGGAGGAGGAGGAGGAGGAGGAGGAGCAGGGAGGAGGGAGGAGGGAGGAGGTGCTATGTTTGGTTCCTACCCAACAAATCTAGTTCCTCTGGGTCCCAGCTGTAGCACGGGACTAACCAGGCTCTCGCCTTCATTAAGGGCTGGCAGCTTTCTGGGCAGATGTAGTTTACTGCGGCCGCAAGACAATCAAACACACACACAGAACACACACTCGCAGAGTCAGTAGAGGCAAACAGCACTGCTTCAGTTATCAGCCGTTACTGCTTTCTGATCAGGTCACAGACATAAAGGAGCCGAATATCACGACTATAGTCAGAAAACAATGCAGTGAGATGGTGAAATAACACAATTCACTCACAGAAAAGCTCATCAGCAGCTACAACAGTTTTATCCATTTTTCAAGCAGGAACACCAAATAAATGCTGGTTTCTTAAATGGGAGTTTACGAATCAGTTTTATTGCCCCGTAGTGGTTCTTATCACTGGGCTCCTTCAGAACAGAACTGTGGGTTCATTATCCTCCACATCACTGTACCTGTCCTTATGTGTCATAACAAAGAAGTGTGTGAGACCTTTTTTACTATCACATCTTTATTTTTTATCCCTCTATGTAATCCTCGTGCTTCTTTTCCGCCTCACCAGCTGCTGTAACGGCGAGGGATCAATAAAGTTTATCATATTTGATCTTACATGCGAGGACGTGGGGATTTGGTGCACTGCAGCAAACGCTGACGAGGAGAGAGTAACGAAAGTATTTACAGTGAGCAGGCATGTGCAAATTTTCATAGTTTGTGACGTAAACAACTTGAGATGTACAGAGGACAGTAGTAATAATAATAATAATGAAACTTGTGGATGAGACCAGCTGCTGTCGGGAGGAAATGGAATAGTTTGGTCTTTTTTGGGCTTTTAGGTAGAAGAAAAGCATTCTTAGTGCTTCCCAACGTTTTTACACCTTGAAAATCCTGCTCTTGATCAACATGTGTCAACAAATCTTCTACTTCATTCACTACCGGCTGCTGTTAAACCTCTACTCCAGTGTTCCCAGTGTGTCCATGGACATGTCACGGATGCTGCGCCTCACTAAGAGTCAAGCGATGAACAGACCTGCATCGACTCACTGACTGAAGCGCAACACCGCATTGTGTTTGTTGTGCACAAATGTTCTGCAAATTTTCTGCTCAAAATACGACACAGACTTCATCATACAGGCGGAATTTCGTCGTACACGCGTGTTTAATGACAATAAAGTATCTTGAAACCACTTAAAGGTTTCAAATTTAGTTCAAAACACATATTTACATGGACTGTTGCATAAACCGAGCAGCTGATCAGAGTTCAAAACAAGAAGACGCCTCCAAAGAAGAAAATTAATCGTCAAACTGATTAATCACCGAAATGCAACGTTCCACACGCTTGTATAAGGACCACAACGTTAGCTTGCTCACATTAAAAATGTCACGAATAGTTAACAAACGCCAGGTATTCTGAACTACATATTTCCACGTTTTCTGTGCTGCACATCCACAGAGGAGCTACCGGGGCAAATTAAGAAGCTAATTCACTGCTTATTAACGCTGGCCTGAAGCCATTCACCGCTACACAAGCCTCTGTCATGGCGGCCCGACTCGGCAGTCCACAACAATAAACACCAACAAGTGATCAAATGAAACCGCTGGATTGTGAGCACAGACCAAACAGCCGTCCACGTTTCCCATTCGCTGCCTTCCGCTTCTCCTCCAAATCAATAAGAAATTTGATTTTAAAAAACTCCAACGCCGCTCTGTTGTGAGCTTCTTGTGATGCTGGTAGAAGGTTTTTCAGTAGCTTTGATCAGATTTGGCGTCAAACTCATCAGGTCCTAACATTAATCTATCAGGACCTCTCACTGGCTCCATGTGGTGTTCAGGTGTTCTGTACATTCTATCTGGTTATTGTGACTACGTTAGTTAAGTTAATTGGTCATGTAGATTTCATTTTATCCCTGATTTTTGCAAAATAAATATTTAAAGAAACTCCAAGTTTGTTTTTCCTTTATTATGATTTGTGGCTTTATAACTACGTTTGATGGCACAGAGGACATTTCTCTCTCTCCTTCTTCATGATTGTTCTGCTTCCATAGAGGTGCAGGACTCCATATTGGAGTAAGAACATCCAGAACCTGCTCAGAGGATTAAACACTAACAGCCTGACATACAGACATCAACTCAAACTGAAGCACAACTTTACAGTCTCCACTTTCACACATTTTCACAACCATTTGCGACGTTGCCTTTAAACACAACTGGCGACCAAACCGATCACACCTCGACATGCGACGCATTCGCACCGTCCAATAAAAACAAAAAAAAAAACAAAACAAAACACAGGTGGCTGGAAATGATGGCGATGGCAAGAAGCAGAAGGAAGGAGATGTCAGGTCACGGAACAGGAGTGCACGAAAATAAGCAGTTTAAGCCACCAGCTAGCTCGGTGGGATAAAACCAAGTCCTACCCGAGGAACTGCGCTCCCGCCGGGCCGACCTCCACCAGCCGGCTCGCCAGGCCTTCGCCCTCCACCATCGGAGGAGGTGTCGCCACCTTGTGCCTCTTCACCAGGCGGCAGGTGATCCTGGTGGGCGCCGTGCACTTCCTGGGCGGGATGATGATGCGCATGCCGTTGTGGCGGCTGCCCCTCATCGAGCCGCCTCTGGCGTCGACCATGAAGCTGACCAGGAACCTGAAGACGGGAGGAGGAGGAGGAGGAGGAAGAGACAAAGAGCGATGGGAGACAGAGGAACAGTGAAGAGCACGGAGACGGGAGGTGAACGGAAAGAAGATGGACGTGAAGGAAGCAGAGGAAGAGTCGATGGGACAGGAAGTAAAACACAATTAAGAGCGGCACTGATGGGGAGACAGGAGCTTTAGTTGGAGGTGAAGTCTTCCCATGCTGTGATCTTCAAAACACCCACAAAGGAAGTGTGAGCAAAAGAGAACAGGAGGTAAAGGAGGATGTGAGGAGGTTTCTGTGTCGGTCATGGCTGCGATTATTCAAACCTTCAGCACGTCTATTTCCATTTCTGAATATTCTTGGGTTCAGTGCCAAAGCGGGTTGAAAACAGGTGAGTTTTACGGGTCGACTAGTTCGTAAACCAACAGCCCACTACTAACGTCACGACTTCAAAGTCTGGCCCATGATGGTTTTGGCATAAATATTTAGTGGCAAACTGTTGGCTTCTTAAATGTGAGTTTATAAATTAGTTTTATCGCCAAGTAGGTATTTATCACTGGCCTTTTCCAGAACAGAACTGTGGGTTCATTATCCTCCACATCATCGCTGTATCTATCCTGATACGTCACAATGAATCATACAGTCGTCCTCAAAATGTATTCATCCCAAAGAAAAGGCAAAATACACAACAGTCACTCAAATAACTAGAAACTGGAAAAAGTAATAATAAATAAAAATTTGCTAAATTATAATTTAGTGAAATAAGTCGTTGCTTTTGAATTTTGTGTGAAAATAATAATAATAAAAAAAAACTGTACCAGACAAATTAGAGCACTTTGCTGATGAGCCAACAGGTGCAGAAGTCTGACTGAGAGTTACAGAAAACACCTGATGATGGCAGTGATCGGCTCAGAGGGTTGTTCAACTACATATTAGTTTATGGGTCCCATCATGCTGGGTGCTTGTTGTTTTTTTTATATATATTTCTGTTGAACCAAAATTCAAAACCAACGTCATGCTTTTCATAATTTTTTTTATTTATTATTACTTTTGTCAATTTCAACTTGTTTCAGTTACTGCTGTGTTTTTCCTTCTTTAATGGGAGGACATTAATACATCTGTATGTATCTATACGTAGAGATATTATGATGTCTTTATTCTTGAGCCCTACAGGTAATTCTTGTGCTCCTTTCCTGCCTCATCTGTATCCAGCTGCTGTAACACGTGAATCAATACAGTGGTCCAACCAGAAGCCCACTACTTATGTCACGATGTGACTTCAAAGTCTGGCCCATGATGGTCTGAGCATTTAGTGGCAAACTGGGCGGAGTCACAGGAGTTGCTGACAGTTATATCACAGGTAGCTGCAACGTGTTTGCGATTCAAGATGGCGGACAACGCGACCTCAA